TATTATAAATCAACCAACTCATAAAATTTTAATAATTTAAATTTACAAAATAATATATTTGAAGGGCGACTGTAATGTTTTCTGGTGATAATTTTATGGCTCTTTTCTGTAAAATGAAAATAGGATTTGTGATTGTTTTACATGCTTTACCCCAGACTTCAATACAGTAAATCAAGTATATCAGTATTTTGTTGAATCTAAGAGTTGATTAAACAAACTGTAAAAGTAGGTTAAGTTAAAGCAGAGATTGTAGAAAATAATAAAACCACATCAGACTTGTTTTCTGGGTTAATTTTTTTCTATGAATGTTTCTAATTTTAATTGATGTTTTCCTGTTTTGCTGAGCTGCAGGATCCTACCTGTGTTTGTGGATGAGAGCGTTGAAGGCCATCCCGTCYCTCCAGCTGGTGGTGAAGTTGTGGATGTTGACGTTTGGATATCTGGAAGAGAAGAGAGTCTGAATAAAACAACGGAACCACAGGGTTCTCTGAAGCAGACTCCTCATGGAAGTTCCTACATTCAACCAAATCACCAGGGGCCACGGCTAAACTGAGTAACTAAAAAAATAATAATTAAAAAAAATTATTTAAAACCTATTTTTTCCCCACAAAATTTAGTTTTTTTGGGTGGGGGGGGGCCTCACTGGTGGAAGGGCTGAAGTCACCATGAGCAGAACTCACTGGCCCACGGGCCGCCAGTCCTGTCCTAAAGGCTCACTTAGCTGTCAATCAATTGCTGAGGACTTTGGCTAAAATTTGACGTATCAAAACCTGTTTAAAATGACAACCTAAAGTGGTAACCAGTAAGACACAGATGCTGATTAACTGGAAATAATACAACAACAATCTGAGAAAAAAGTACAAAAAAAAAAGTTTTTTGGCCCAAATATTTCACAAAACTGCAGACTTTATCTGTTCAGAAAATATGCATCAGTTTAATCAGGAGGACTTTTTAATTTATTATCTTGATTTATTTGCCAAAAAGTGATTTTAATTCAATTAATTTAATTTGATTTTAAGAATCACTCTTATTCTTTGCAAAAAAAAACTGCTATCAAAGTATCTGAAAATAAAAATGTCATTCCTGCTTCTCTTGATTCAACATTTAAATTAAACAATAAAGAAGAAACTGAATATTTGATGTCACTTTGACCTGGAATACAGACGAGGAGTAATCATAAAGATGAGGCTAGTTCTGCACAAACACAGCCCTCCAGCGCTGCAGCAAAACATTTCTGTATTTGTTTAGGTTGGGGCTTTTCTGGCTGCATATTCAGAGAATAAGTTGAATGTGGGTTTGTTGTGATGATTCTGTTTGTTTTTATGGATTTAAATAAAAAATTAAGAATAAATAGAAACTATTTCAAAGCAATAAAAAATAAATGTGACTAATGATTGTCAGAGATCTGCAGGTGCAGAAAATAAAGAGATGTTGGGAACAAACCCTGCAGTTTTCATCTGACACCAGAGCAGCAGAGCATCTTTAGCCGACTTCTTCTCCTTGTTGTCCTCCGTCTCCACACTGATGTCCTGAATCTGAGACACACACACACACACACACACACATTAAAAATACTTTAAAACCATAGAACGTAAACGTACCAATAAAATGGGAGCTTTGATTCAGCTTTCTTCACTACAACAGACCAGAGCAGCATCCTCATTACTGCAGAGGAGCTTCTAATTTATTTTTTCATCTCCACCCATCCCACCATCACTCAGGATCAGGAGACTCACAAACTCCACTCTTCCACTTGAGGCAAAAAGCTTTCTCCAACAAAGATCAAGATATTCAAAATATCCTCCATTTCTGATGACAATCTGATCACTATACGTTACAAAACCTGTCCACACTTCTTAAAAGGGTCTAATTTTCTGATTAACTAACTCTAGGACAGGGCTCTGCCCCTTGATTCACTAATAAAATGTGGCCAGAGCAGCTAAATGTGCTACAACTGTGATTATCAACTGGTGGCCTGTGGGCCACTTCAGGTCTGTTGAAGTTGGGGCTTGTCCAGCCAGTTGGAGTTACAGTCTAAAACTAAAAATATACAGTGAATTTTTACATTTATTACTATTACTACACTTTAAGACAAAAGAAAATACCATATTCACGTAAACAAGAAAACAACAATATATTGTTTGTGTTAAATTTAATGAAAACTAAAACACTGAACTATGCAGAGGCATCTGTGTTTTTTTAATACTCAGCTTACCTTATCAGCTCACCATATTTCTTCTCCTGTCTTATAGATATAAAAAAGAGAGACCCAAGAGCCACCATGTGGCCCCGGAGCTGCAGGTTGCAGACTCTGCTCTAAGATTCAAGATTCAGTGTTTGTCATATACACAGATGAAACAAGTGAAACAAATGTTTCCCTGAGCAATGAAATTCTTACCGTGCCGACCACTCTGAATACCAAGAGACAGCTAGATAAAAAAGATCAAGCACTTAAACAATACTAAGAAAGTAATAAGGGATAAACGATAAAAAGACCACACTTGGAACAAAAAGGAGACATCCACTCTTTAAACCAGGGCTATTCAATTGGTGGCCCGCAGGCTGAATGACCTCCATCTGGCTCGCCAATGAGGCCCACCCCTCTAATAATAATACTAATAATAATAAAATATAAAAATATATTTAAAATCATTTGTAAATTTACTGTTTTTGTTTCAGTGCAACAAAATACATTTAAAAGGTAAATGATAATAATACTTCTGTTACATGCTGCAGAGTTTCACCCATCAGTAATGGACAGCACCGGTGGTCCCGGTCCCCGAGTTTTTAACTACTTAAGTTGCATAGCCCTGCTTTATACTTCAAAAAACATTTCAGAACACTTTCCATAGTTTCTAAAACTTTCAGCCTTTTCTAAATGTTGGCACTTTCTGCAGAAAATATTAAAAATGTTATGTATAAATTTCTATATATACTCATTATCTATTAAAGTATCAACACTTTAAAAATATTTTTCAAAGGTTTTAATGTAACCTCCTCATTTGAAGGTGTTCTTTTTAAGATATCTTCAGTCCTAAAAGCTTCTTTTTTGCCAACTGTCCAATTTTTTTTCACTTTCTAAATTTGTACTCACATTTTGAAAACGTCTTCACTTTCTAAACATAAAACCTTCTCCAAATCCCCTCTTTGTAAAAATTTCTTACATTTCCTGTAATTCTTCTTCAAACATCAGCCCTACAATGTGATACTGTTGCTGCTCTCTATAAAGAAAACTAGAAAACATCCAGAGTTTGTGAAGACAGCCCCATAAATCTGCCACCAGAGCCAAGCATGATCATCTCACCCTCATCGATGGAGCTCCATCAGTCTGACCAGGACCACATGAACCGGTTTGGACCCAGAAATCAGCTCAAACAGCAGCGTTCAAACCTCAACAACACAAATGGAGGTCCAGTTGTTCCATTCTACCCTCACTCCTTCGCCGAAGGATTTAAAAAAAAATACTTTTTTAATCCTCCGAAAGCTTATAAAAGCTAAATCCTGTCACTCGTTTCACCAACTGTCCCACATGGTGACGTCATGAGCAACCAACCACTGCAGGGTACAGTAGAACCAGGGCACGGATCAGGACGATAAACTGCTTCAACTTTATTCAATAATGTTTTTAGATTTATTAAAAATAAAGAGAAAAACTGCATCTTCTGAAAAAATGTAGAATAAATGCTGAAGGACTGCTCAGATTTACAGAATAAGCTAAAGCTGAGTTTTACAAACTAAAATAAGTAGAATACAAGCTAAAACCTGCAGAACACAAGCTAAAACCTGCAGAACACAAGCTAAAACCTGCAGAATACAAGCTAAAACCTGCAGAACACAAGCTAAAACCTGCAGAACACAAGCTAAAACCTGCAGAATACAAGCTAAAACCTGCAGAACACAAGCTAAAACCTGCAGAACACAAGCTAAAACCTGCAGAATACAAGCTAAAACCTGCAGAACACAAGCTAAAACCTGCAGAACACAAGCTAAAACCTGCAGAATACAAGCTAAAAC